GCCTCCTCCAATGCAGTGCAGGGTTAATAGCCGTGCATTGTACATGATGAGGCTAAGCAACCTCCTAGAGAGTGGCTGAGCGGGGGTGAGTGGAGAGGTCAGAATTTGGACTGTTTTTTTTCCAGCCTGAAGTTGGGCTTTATTGCCACTCCTATTACCGCTTGAAGGTAATCCTTTTGAACTCCCCAAATGCACACGCAGTTCTTTTATGGCAGCGTGATTTTGAAATCAAGAAGATACTTACAGGGGTTGCTTTTGCCAACTTCTTATAAATGAACCAAACCCCTCAAATAGATTTTGTCTTAAAGAAGAACTCTGAGCAAAATTTTCATTAACCCGTACAGTGGTGTTACCCCCGCAAGAGTTTACCAAGAGGTTTTTTTTTGTTTTTTTGGCATAGGTCAGCTGATTATTTATTTTGCACATACAGTATAGCATAGCCTTTCACAGCATTTTGAATCCAAAGGCACTTCCCTAACATTATTGTACAGCTTTTATTGACCTTGATGTTCTATAACATGATGTTCTATACCTGTTGAGGTGAGCAGAAAGTACATTAATTACAATTTAGTGTTGATATGTTCCAATAAATACATGTAACTAGGAGATCCAATATGTGATAATTGTGAAGATGACACTATCTAGTCTGTTAATGTCCAGACTCCATATTTTAGTGATTTAATATATTTAAAGCAGAATGAAACTCTCAAGCTTTCACCAGTACTGGATTAGATCAAACAAGTATACATTTCACAGCAAAATATTTCCTTTAAAGATTTCTAAAAGCGAACTCTTGCAGTGAGGCTGTCCCCGCTCTGCCGGGGTTAACTTTTCGTTCTTCTCTAGGGGACAGAAGAAATAGTCACCCGATCCTTGGTCCTGCGGCAGTGACCGCTCACTTCACCCGATCCTTGGTCCTGCAGCAGTGACCGCTTACTTCACCCTATCCTTGGTCCTGCGGCAGTGACGCTCACTTCCCCTCTGCTTCAGCTGTGGTATGTCCCTCTGCGTCCTCACGTCTGAAACACTGTATTAGACGTGATAACTCATGGATCTATAAACCGACAGAGCACAAGGGAGAAGAGGCTGCGGGGACCAGTCTAACAGCCATGCAGGATCGGGTTAGTATTTCTTCTTTGTTCCAATAGAGAAAAATGAGCAGTTAACCCTTGCAGAGTGGGGTAGCCCCACAACATGGGTTAACTGTTAAAAATCCTGGAGTTCCTCTTTAAATGTTTACACTTACAGGCATCAGGTTTCCAAACAGCTGGCTCCAAATTTCTCAGCTCAGCTTCCCTGAACAATACTGTCCAGTACAAGCTCACAAGGGACAGCACAGTCTCCTGAAGCCATCCATCTACTAACTTGAAAAAGGGAGGAGAGGAGAGCAGGAAGAAGGGGAATAGCTTTCCTTGCTGTGTCTGTGTGTTTGTGGAGACACACTGCTTACTAGCAAACACAAGGGTGGCTCCATTGGACCCTGCAAGGGAAAGGAGCAGCACTACAACAGGATATCAGGGTCAGTGCTCAGGAGACCAGCTAAAACTGCCGGAAACTAAAACATGAACAAGTAGTATCCATTATAAGTGATTTCATCAGCATTTGAAATAGCTTAAAAACCTTTTAAAGTAGAAAACATACCAGCGTTTTTCTGGTGTAATCCCTTGCTTTTTTTTGCTGTAAAATTGGCAGGGGATCAAAATGATTTATGTTTTTTAATTACAAAAGCTATTTCATTTTATGATGCTACATATGCAAGAAGTAAACAGTCTAGGCATATTCAAACTGTATAACCATAATTAGCATTTTTAAACAGCGTGCAACTGTTTTATAGTAAACCATTATTCACGCATCTCTTTTCACTCTCACAGACTTGGTTTATATTCACATGTTTAGAGCTGCAGCTAACGATTATTTTCAAAATCGATTAGTTAGCCGATTATTAAGTTCGATTAATCGGTTAATCGGATAAACTATAAAAATTACTGAACAGTAGCTGTAAAAATGAGGATGAATCAGCTTTGCAGACAAAATACTATCCCCAACTGTGCTGCATTAAGGAAACCTTTTAAGAAATACGGGGCTGCCAGTGCTGACCTACTTCTGGAAATGCTAGTTGACCAGATATTATGTTGATCACCCCAAGGCTTCAATATAATTTATACTTCAATAGAATAATGTCAGACAGTACATTACTTGGAACATGTTTGCAAATTCAGAGAAAAGTCAGAAGCCCTTATCTACAGACTTCCAGATTAGTGATTCGCAGTATTCAGGCAAGAATGTCAATATGATTGCCAGGTAACTACCAGTAGTTGTTTTCAGAACGAGCCCTCAGCCTTTGGTTCTCCCAGGGCAAGGTTCTTTTACAGTATGGTCAGGTAACATGTGCTAGTAGTAATCAGTGGCAGCTCAGCAATTGCTCAGTTCCATAGAGCGAGTCCAAAGGATTCTAGCAGTACACCGTATCTATTCCAGAATTATCCATTTACTTTGTCATCATGGACCCAAAATTGTGTGAGCATTGGGGATGTATAACTTGGGACTATAATCTCGCATTTAGTTTACTAGTTTGTATTGAGATTGTAGTCCATCACAGGAGCGGTGGCTACTTTACAATACACAAAGGGACCATGGAGAACAAAAGTCGCCCCCCCTTTCAGAAGAAAGGACAATGTCCACACCAATTCAGAGATGATTTGAGGGGGGGAGAACAGTATAACATCCTTGTACTGCTTACAACTCAACAGAAGAATAGCCTCCTGGCTTCCAATTTAAACATTACTTCTGACCCAATGGTCCTCTTGGAAGTGCGGTCCCACACTTGTACTGGCGGCCCCTCAAACTCAGGGCTCTCCTAGCCTCACCAGTTCTCACTCCCTGGCTGTCTTCGTGTGCCTTCAGGGCACAGACCACCTGACTTCACTTTAACTTCTGGGGGAGTCCTCCTGACCCCTGAACACCGTCTGTTCCATCCCAGCAGGAGCTCACCTGACTCCTCTCAGGCTTTTGGGGAACCCTCCTGACCCCTAAACACCCTCTGTTCCCCTTTTCCAGCAGGAGCTCACCTGACTCCTCCCTGACTTCTAGGGGAGTCCTCCTGACCCCTGAACACCATCTGTTCCTTCCCAGCAGGAGCTCACCTGAATCCTTTCAGGCTTTTGGGGAACCCTCCTGACCCTTGAACACCCTCTATTCCTATTTCCCAGCTGGAGCTAATTCCCCTAGCCAGCATCCTTTCCCTAAAGGCTATGCACACCTGTGCAATCATTGGGTGTTGGTTACTGCTAAACCCTGGACCCGGGACTGGAGCTTTCTTCCCTCCTGAATCACTTTGTCTGGATTCAGCTTGGGATGCTGGAACTGGGACGTTTCAAACTCTTGCTTCCTGACACCTCTCAACCCATCTGGCTGAGAGTCCTGGGTGATCATAACTCCCAATTCTACTGTGGGATTACCACAACCCAGTAACCCCCGGCTCCGGCTGGGTGAAATTTCCCATAGATACACATGGGGTCTGACAGTTTGTTTGCGATGGGGGAAAAAACTGTACGGACATGGATGTCACAGCGGTGACATCCTCTCCATACTGCTGTGATCAGGAGGAGACCCGGGCACGGATCCTCTCCAGATCAGCCCATGTGAAAGGGGCCTAACTCTGGAGTTTAGTGTCACTTTAATACTTACGTTTTATAAAGTCTCCTTTCTGTTTTATCTCAGACATGTTGTAACATATTGGCTCACAAAACTACAAAAAGAAATTTTGCACAGTGTGCATTTTTTTTTATTTCTTCCAAGTATGCATTTGCAACATATGTCAAAAGTATGTGGATCGTCTCATTTTAAGGACTGGACACATAAATGTCTCCTCGGCTCAACTCTATTGTGTTTTAAATTATAAAAGAGGAAATAGCTGTCATGTGCACACAAGTGATAAAGCAAACACCGGAAAACCTGGATGTAGTACATGCTTGCCACAGTTTCCAGTCATATACGAACAACTGTGGCCTAAAGTATCACAGATATGTGACCCCTGTTTGATTTTGTTTCCAAAAAAATTTCTGTAAAAGTTGGGATATCTTTTAGGGCCGATTCACACCAGCAGCTGCGCTACAACGCCTAGCTGCTGGTGTACGTTGGTAGGCATATTTCTCATGCGTTCATGCTGATGCATCACACTGTTTACCTTTATTTTTGGTCACTAGTGACATTTCATTAAGTTTTGTGGGAACAATGTGGCATGGCCCGCTGTGCTGGAAAGAAAGTACTGCACGCAGTACTTTTCTTTAATGTACACCTCCACAATGGGGTGGTGTGAACTGAGCCCATTCAAAACAAGGCAAAGTCCCAACACATCTGGTATAAATTGAACCGTATTGTAATAGATACAGTAGCGCTGGGGCACCAATATCCGGGGAGTGGTACTGGCCAGATTGGTAATTTTAAGGTGGGCTGTGCGGTGTCACAGGTGGGCAGTCAGGGTCCTAGGAAGGCTTGGATTTACACAAGCCAGCTTTTGATGATGGGAGGGGGATATAAAGCAGGGGTCAGTGTGCAGGGGGCTCTATAGACCTTTTTCTCTGGGATTACTCAGCTCCCACTCCCTAGTCCGTGTCCTCTCACTTCCCGGCTGCTTTGCGTGACACCGATCCCACTTGCCTCTGGCTCCGGCATCTGAAAGTGCATTTTTCCAACCCTAGGCCCCCCGTGTACAGCCCTGGCAGTGCCTGCAGAGCGGCGGAGGAAGCAGAAAGTTACCATCGGTAGGATAATAATAGTAATATTTTCTTGAAGGGGAAGCAATTGTTTACCGTTCTTTCTTTTATTTATACAGCTGAATACTTATTTGTTTATATTGTAAGCATGCAGATGATGGAGAATTGTTGTGTGGTATGTTTTTGTTAGGTTTTTTTTTTCCCACAGAATTAATTGGTTTTCATGACATCCCAATATTCTCTTCTCCTTTTTTTTTCTTTTTCTTTTTATTGCAGATTGAAACATGTCAGCTTTCTGGTGCCAAGCCGACTTGGCAGGAGTTTGGGTTCCCGTATACAGTACCAACCTGCATACTACTTGGGTAGTAAGAGTGCTGTATCTCCAGCTATTAGCCATGAAGACAGCAAGTCTCACCCAGTTCTGGAAGGGCTACAGATGCCATTCTCTCGTTCTATGATAGGAAGCTTTTTCCAGGAGCAGCCCAAGCTCGGGAACCAGTTCCTTGAGGATGCCACTCTCCAGAGTTATTTAAGGAGACATCTCCCTCCACTGGTGGGCACTAAACATATGCACACAATATTTTAGTAGAAACAATTATTTTAGGCCCTAAGCAAGTGTTGACAACAATGTGATGGGAGAGCCCTTTTTGTTACCACATGGGAGTATCAAACAGCTGTTTAATGTATATTTATGTATTTTAGGTACACATAAATGAAATATTGTAGCTTAATATTCTTATAGGAAACAAAGCCTTTTTTTTTTTTTTTTTTTTTTCCAGATACATTTGTAGTGCTGCAGGCCATGCTAACGCACAAATCCTTTGTTGAAAGTATTGTAGTATTTTAGGAATATCAGCCTTTAATCTGTATACATTAGGGATGTCCCGATACAACTTTTTCAAGACCAAGTACAAGTACTTCCCCTCATGTACTTGCCGATACCAATTACCGATGCTTTTCTTAAAGGGACAGGTGACTTTAAATGATCCATAGCACAACTACATGTTATGTACTAAGGATCATGATTTAACCTATTCATGTTAGCAGGGGAGAATTGTAACTCTATTACTGCAGTGTAGTGGAGGTGTGTGCTGTATATATGTACTACATATACAGTACACACATCCAGTACACTATAGCAATAGATTTACAGCCAGCCCTTGTCCCAGCTTCCCTCACTCAGTTTCACTCTGATCCCTGTTGCCTCACGAGGTGCCTCTTGTAGTCGGCGCTGGGCAGGATCGCTGCATCGCATCTCATGCTCAGCTTGTGGGAGGCGCTCACAATTCTGCCCCGCTAACAGGAATAGGTTAAAGCATGATCCATAGTACATATACAGCACACACGTTCGGTACATTGCAGTAATAGAGTTACAATTATCCCCTGCTAACATAAATAGGTTAAATCATCTATAGTACATAATATGTACATAACATGTAGTTGTACTATGGATCATTTAACCCATTCATGTTAGCAGGGGATAATTGTAAATCTATTGCTGCAGCGTAGTGGGAATATGTACTGTATATTTACTACATATAGAGTACACTGCAGCAATAGAGTTTTTCAATTATCCCCCGCTAACATGAATAGGTTAAATCATGATCCATAGTACAACTACATGTTATGTACTATGGATCATGATTTAACCTATTACTCTATATGAAGTACATCTACTGTGCACATTACAAATACAATGCACCTCCCATTTCAGCACAGGCCCTCACTTACTGGTGCCTATTCAATGGAGGTGCCGAGTTCTTTTCCTCACATGTGAGGACGTTGTTGGCGCTGAGCCGAGGAGCGTCGCGTCATTGCTGTGGGTGGCGCTCCAGGTGGGGTCCTCTGGGCAGTCGCTGGCCCCCTACATTAGGACCCCACCTGGAGCGCCGGCCACAGCAGTGACGCGACGCTCCTCTGCTCAGCGCCGACGACGTCCTTGCATGTGAGGAAAAGCATTCGGCACCTCATGAGGCACCACGGAAGGTACAGAAAACAAAATTTAAAAACAGCGCAAGCATCGGCGCTATGCATCTGGGCATTTTGACAAGTACTTGTCAAAATGCCCTGTATTGGTCCCGAAATTCAATGGAGGTGCCGAGTTCTTTTCCTCACATGTGAGGACGTTGTTGGCGCTGAGCCGAGGAGCGTCGCGTCATTGCTGTGGGTGGCGCTCCAGGTGGGGTCCTCTGGGCAGTCGCTGGCCCCCTACATTAGGACCCCACCTGGAGCGCCGGCCACAGCAGTGACGCGACGCTCCTCTGCTCAGCGCCGACGACGTCCTTGCATGTGAGGAAAAGCATTCGGCACCTCATGAGGCACCACGGAAGGTACAGAAAACAAAATTTAAAAACAGCGCAAGCATCGGCGCTATGCATCTGGGCATTTTGACAAGTACTTGTCAAAATGCCCTGTATTGGTCCCGATACCGATGCTAGCTTCGGTATCTGGATATCCCTAGTATACATATTCCTAGTTCCACCTCTTGCAACTTTCAGATGCATGTGTCAGAAGTTTAACTGCACCTGTGACAATATTATAGCATCAAGAGGCAGTGGGATTACACAAAACTCTGATTACGATGGACTAAAATAGTATTAAATCCAGATCACACAAATATACATTGACCAGCAAAGTATTTCTTAAAATTCTGCCCCAGCACTTAGTTGGAGCTGTTTGGAAACATGATAACTCTCAGCTAGGCTTCCCTGAACTTCTTGTCCAGTACAAGATCACAAGGGACAGCACAGTCCCCAGCTGCTGTCCATCTACTAGCTTGTAGAAGAGAGATGAGCAGAAGGAGGAGGGAAGAGCAGTGGAGTGGCTTACCTTGCTGTACCTGTGTGTTTGTGGAAACACACACGGTTTACTAGCACACGTAAGGGTGGCTCTATGGGACCATGCAAGGGAAAGGAGCCACCCTAATACAGGATATTAGGGCCAGTGCTCAGGGGACCTGCTGATTCTGCAGGAAACTAAAACTTTGAAACAACAAGAAGTAACATTCATGGTAAGTAATTTAATTTGAACTAAAACAGTTTGACTTTAATTTTACTTTAAATAAGTTTATCTGAATTTAGCACAGTTGCAATGTATCCCTCTGTCCCTCTCCCTCTTTTATATTAATTAATCTAATCAATTCTAATTAACCTACAACTATTATTCCTGTCATCTTCTGCATACCACCTAAAGTTTACCATTTGAGTGTACACGTTCAGCTGTATTTAGATAAAAGGTATGGAAGACATAAAACATATCCTCACCATTTCCGATCAGCAGCTAAGGTAGTATTCTACACAGTCAGGTGTGCTAGAACGCCCTAAACTAATAACTGTAGTCTCCTGTAGTGGACTACAATCTCACGTTAGTTTACTAGTTTGTATTGAGATTGTAGTCCATAACAGGAGTGGGCTTGGAGCGGTGGCTACATTACAACACACACAGGGACCATGGAGGACAAAAGTACTCACCCTCCAGAAGGAAGGACAGTGTCGGCACCAATTCAGAGATGATTTGAGGCTCTACAACCGAGTGATACACAAATAAGATCAATTTTTATTAATAGTTAAGGTACTTGAATGCATTTCTAAGATTTAACTCCTGAGTTTAGTGTCACTTTTAGTATCTCTGAAATACCAGTTCATATTAAAAGAAAATGTTGTGCAAAAGGCCTGGAGTATATATTTTGCGCTGTGTGCGCTTTAGGTTAGTGTAAAAAAAAAACCCATGGGCCATTTATTTTAACTAGAGTGTGGTACCATCATTCTAAACAGTGTACTCTGAACTTGAATTTTATAACTTGGAACTAAAAATGCTTTGATCTGGCCTATAAACTTTCTAGGACCGGTTATGTTGCAGTTAAAGTCTGCGCAATCAGGAAAACACATGATACAATTTCTGAAGGAAAAAAGAGTCGCATATTTTTGTCCATACTTTTCTGTATGTAGTTTTTCAGCCTCAAACATGTCAACAGTTTATCCCATCTGTATATAACCTCAATTGTTGAAAATTTTAATAAAAAATAGTTCAGTTTAAAAATAAATCACATTATAACTTAAAAGTGCTTTGAGCTTTAATTTTTTACATGGCGATCAACTAAAGTTGTTAAAGGGTTTCTAAACCCCTCTGGTTTTTTTGCATATATCTACTGCTAGATATATGCAAAGAGTTTTAAAAAAAACCAAAAACGCTTTAACAGTGGTTTAAACTTACCCCGTCTTCGCCACGCGCTCCCGTCTGAAAATCCGAAACTGCTCGAGCGGCCGCAAAGCATCTTGGGGCGGGCACATGCGCAGTTCAGATTTTCAGCCAGTAGACGAGGAGAGACGCAAGGTAAGTGTATCGACGCGTGCACGCGCGCGCAGACACCGTGGGATCGGGAGTGCCAGTAAGGACAGAGGAGTCAGCGCTGGATCGGACACCCACCGCAGCGCTGGAGAGAAGGCTGAAAAGGACAGGAAAGAAGAGGAAGATCGGATTAAGAGACATAATTTAAGGTAAGTGCTGACATTAACATGGGGGGGGAGGGAAAACAAATTTGGCCTTTAATGTCACTTTAACATAGTAATTGGACAAATATTAAACATAATTTGCTTTTTATAGTTGTTGCTTTATCAGTTTCCACTAATGTGTTTGATTTGGTTAAAAAAAAAAAAAGACTACTTTTAACATGAGCAAGTATATGTTTGGACATATCTAGAGTTCTGGTTTTATTTTAATCTGGCTCATTCTTTGTTATCAAGAATATCGCTTTTTCATTTTTCCAAAAATGTATTTTTATTTTAGAAGTAGAGGAAGTATTATATCTTGACTGATGTGTGGTTTTAATGTTATCAAGTTGTTAAAGTAAAACATACTTTGCGTGTACGCTGTAAGTTTATGTATGACACCTAATTGGGAAACATATGGAAAAATGAAATGGCTTGCCTTAATTTCTATCTATGATATGCAGGTTCTGGAGCAAGCAAGCCAAGATCTTGAGCAGTTTGGACAACGCATAGTGGAAGAGATTGATTTACTTGGACGAGAATGTGAATTAAACCCACCACAGCTGCAGCAGTATAATGCCTGGGGTCGCAGGATCGATCATATCATTACCTGTCCAGCCTGGAGAAGAATGAAAGAGATATCTGCAGAAGAGGGCTTGATAGCAGAAGCTTATGAGAGGAAGTACTCTAGCTGGAGGTAAATATATGAATATGAAAGTTGTCAATAATCTAGGAGGTGAAAGACCTTGTGCTTGCAGTAATGCCTACTCTTTGTGCATTTGCTTGATGAAACAGACAGATCCACAGAAAGGATTTTGTTAACTTGCTTTACTCATTCACTCTTAGTACAGCAAACTCTTAGTACACCAAACCCTCATTGCTGCCTGTGAGGCAATATTACACTCTCATAGCATATTGTTGCATATTTGTTTTTAATCCATATTCATCAAAACATTAGAGGAAAATTTTCAGCACTGGACTGGATTTCTTATTACACAGGTTTAGGTCTTCTTTGTGTACCAAAGATAGCAAGGCTGTTGTGCTCTCATCCATAATCATGCTACAGCTACGTTTTATGGCCTTTTTTAGTCATATATAAAAAACACCTTGAAGTGACACTGTAACTTTTAGAAAAAAAAAAAAAAATCTGCCCTCTGTTGTTCCTCCTGCCGACCTCTGTCACTACAGTTCAATCATCAAAAGAAACCCATCGCACACCTGACCGGATAATACCCTCAAGTATCGGGTGGGTACCTCCGCAAATCAGTATAAATATGAAGAAGTCACTCGCACTCCAGCTCAAGTTCAATCAATATTTTATTGGCCTCTGGTGTCACAACATGGAAACTTTCGGAACCCGTTTGGTCCCTTCATCAGGCAAACAAAGAGTGAGATCAAACAACAAAAGTATACTGGACATAATAGTCAAAATTCATCATCTGTTAGACAAAAAACATGTATAGGACAAACTGGTGTTCAAGCCCCGAGGCATCACCGTATCCAATGTGAAAATCCAGCATGCTTCCTTGCGCAATAATTGAAGGTCCCTATTGCCACCTCTATGACTAGCCTGTATATGGTCAATTACCATGCCCCTTAATTCATGTATTTGATTATGCTCAATAAAGTGTATGGCGACCGGCTTAGTCATGTCTGGTGCTTCACCTGCTGTGACCTTTCTCAAAGAGGTTCTAATGTCGCTGTGGTACTTTTGAAATCGCCTTTTAAACAGACCTTTGGTCTTGCCTATATACACCAATGAGCATGGACATTTGAGCATACAGTATATACAACATAGTCAGAGTTGCAATTGAGATAATCTCTATTACGATATTTATTCCCCCTGTGTGGAACATTCCCCCTCAATGAGGGAGTTAGAAACATTACAATTATGGCACCTATAGCAACCTGTCTTCTGGGAGATCTTATAGGTGCTCCTGGCATACTTCACCCTGGGATCAGCCTGCACAAGGTGATCTCTCAGGGTTTTTTTTTACGTCTAAATACCTGTTTTGGTGCAGCCTTGATAGTTGGAATCAAACCTTTATCTGCCTGTAGAATGCTCATATTCTTATGTAGTGTGCGCAATCTATCATTATAAGTGTGGATAAAAGGAATCCTGCTTTTATCTTTTGGTATCGCCTTCTGCTGAAACCTTTCTCTAGCTCTTAAAAGAGCATTATTGATCACATGGTCAGGATAGCCCCTTTGCAGGAACTTCCTACGCATGTTTTCAATATGTATTTGGCATGTTTGTTTGCCTAATGAAGGGACCAAACAGGTTCCGAAACGTCGCCATGTTGTGACACCACAGAGGTCAATAAAATATTGACTGAACTTGAGCTGGAGTGCGTGTGACTTCTTCATATTTACTCTGTCACTACAGGACACAGCAATGACGTAAGTGGTAACAATAGGAACCGCAGTGCTCCTGTGAGGGACCGGCCATCATTTTGGATTTGTATTGGTGAAGATTCTTCGGTTTAGTATTGATGGTTGTAATTATACAAAGGACTTTAGATTTGGGTCAGCCATTCTTGCTCATTAAATATACAGACCCTGCTTCCTGCTGATCCTTTTTATTGCCTGCAAGTCCACCTAACTGCGTCTGTCTCTATAAATACAATATTTTCTCTGCAGTGATCTAGGATTCTCACGCATGAAAAAAGTGTAAAGGTTTTGGCTCTTTATAAATGGCAAAAACATGTAATTTTCCACTGAAATAATTGTTTTGTAAAAATGTATTTGGTAATGCTGATGCACTGTTTTATTGATAGGTCTGCTTCACAGTGGTGCATTTGGGTTAGTTCTAAATACAATTATGTATTAATGTAGTACTGCTTCAGAATGCAATTATGGATTTATTAATATATATATATAAAGTATTTTAAATGCAACTAGTGGAAATACCTGAATTTACCTCGACTTCAGCCTCTTGTAAACCGGTAGACAGAGAGGCAGTGCATGGGGCCAGGCAGGTGTGCTGCATGCACATTTGCTTCTAAGGAACTTTCCAGCAGGAGGATAGATAGGTGAGATGACCCCATCAAATAATATTGTCCTAAGCTGCACTTCATACAGTGTTGTGACCACAGCAATAAGGGAACGTGTTTGTAGTGACAGCAATGAATGGTGCCATGCAATCTCAATCACAGCAAGAAGAACGGTCTCCAGCACTCCATGTGAAGGTGAAAGAAGGGCCTGTTCACACCTCATGTGTCCTGGGTGCGCTTGGTGGGTGCGCAATTGTCGTGCCTTGTCATGGAAAGTACAACATGCAGTACTTTTTTCAGCACAATGCAGTGAGATCCGGTACATCCGCATCGCACCGCGGTGTGCCCATAGAACTTAATGAAATGTCACTTATGACATTTCAATAAAGTTCTAACAAGAAAAAAGGCCCCAAAACTTTGGCTTTATGACTTATGTGATACTATGGAGATAAAATTACACTGATTCTTTCATCTTCACATGGAGTGCTAGTGACCTTTCTTTTTGTGATGACCCTAACAGTCTGCTGCTGGTCCAAGGACAGGATGGATTGAAATGCATATCTGTTATTCAGTAAACGGCTCCCATATATCTTCTTCTAATTGTGTATCTAGCTGTATGCCTGAAGTTCACCTTTTTAAAGTAGCATTAAACTCTCAAAACTTTTTTCAGTAATTAATTCAGATCAAACAAATATACATTGCCCAGCAAAGAATTGCTTTCCATTTTTGCCCAAACACTTACAATCATCATGTTTCTGTTTCAAGAAAAATACAGCAAGTCCAGTTGTCTTGACTTATTTTTTACAGATATACCATGACCTGGATGATTGAGAACCTTCACAGACATCCCAAGCAGGTGGCTTTCCACTGTTTGGATGGGGTTAGGGCTGTCCAAGTTTACCTTTTTGGTTACAGCTTCCTTTTCAACAACTTGATTCTCCTTGTCTCTTCTGAAGGACCTCTTAGGGGGGCTCCCTCTGCATCTCATTCCACTATTTCTAGGTTGACTAGACCGGTCATCATACATTCTGACTCTGCCAATGTTAAGACTCCACCTTTCCCCTTATTGGCTTAGTCTTCTAGATCTGTCAGTGACTTTTGGGCTTTTAGACATCAAGCATCTGCATTGCAGATTTGTAAGACCACCACCACGTCTTCTGTTCACACGTTCTCTAAGTTGTGCCAAGTGGATGTTCTTGCCTCTGCTGATGCGAGTTTTGACCGCAAAGTGCTACGTTTTAGTTTTTTTTTCTGTTTTGGGCCTATTAGCAGTTGTTTTGCTGTGTTGCCCACCCTAAGTGCATTGCTTGTGGATGTCCTATTGGTCTCTGAATCTGCCTGTGTCCTGTACTGTACGAGCAAGACAATAGGATTTTTGACTTACCAAAACCATTTCTTGAAGTACAATACAGGACACAGCATCCTCGCCTCTATTGCTTGCTAAAAAACAGTATTTCCTGAAGAGGGAGGGGTTATATGAGGGTCCCCACAGCCCTGGCCTGTGTCCAATCACCTGTTGATACTTTCCTATTACCCAGTCATCTTCGAATCTGCACTGTACCTCAGGAAACAGATTTCTAATGTTAAGTCAAAGATCCTATTTGTGGACCTAAAAGAATGGATGAAAACACATAAGTACTTAGGAAGTAAGTTGTTTGTCTTACTTTGTTCTATGTCATTTGGCAGTGTCTAGGCTGCCTCTAATTTTGTAGGTCCATTTGCCTTCCATTACTCTTGCCAGCAGACCCCCAGCTGATCTGCCAGTATGTTTGAAATCTAACAGGAAGATGGAAAGTGCCTACCTAATCTTTAGAAATCTGTTCACAGAAAATTAACCCTTTAACCACTTGATGTCCGTGGTGTTAAACCCCCTTCCTGTCCAGGCCATTTTTCAGTATTCGGTGCTGCAATACTTTGACATTTATTCCATCATGCAAAGCTGTACTGAAATTAATTTTATTCCATTTTTGAGGGGGGCAGATAGAGCGTTCTTTTGTTGGTATTTAAACACCACTGGGGTTTTTATTTTTTATTATAGTAATAAAAAATTGCTGAAATTCAATACAATACCCAAAATGAACCATAGGCGACTCTTTTAAAGCTTTTACCGCTCATCCGTTTAGTGTTATCACTGATTGATGGCCCTAAAATGATTGCGCTCACTGCGACATTCGCGAAGATATGTAACGTGTAGCGCAATTGTCGTTTTCGCGCGCTGGCGCATCGGACGCGTATTTACGTTTATATGTGTGTAAACGTGTGGGTTGGGGAATTAAACATTTTGGGGTTTGTTTTTTTTACTTTTTTTTGTTTTACACTTAATGTCATTGCTATCACATAGGGGATAACAATGCCCCTATATAATGGCAAAGGCACACTGACAGGTCCTCTTTATACAATGTGAGTTTGCCGTCCGTCCGTTGTTTTCACAACGGGCTGACGTCAAGTGGTTGATATAGAATCACATGATGGAGGGCTTCTGCTACTTGAGCTTAACTTATTGTGTAAAAATATAATTACAACTAAGTCATGTAAAAGCTAGAAAAAATTTAGTAATTGTTGCACCTGTCTTTCAGAAAAAATGTGAGCTCTCAAGTATTCTCTTGTTTTAATTTTATCTTTTAGAGATACACAAGAAAAAAATAAACAGAAAAACATGCTTCTGTTTACAGTTTTTGTATTTATAAATGTACACAGGGGCATT